ATAAGTTTAGCTGTGGGAATATTTTTGTCACTGTTGCAACAGCTGGTTCATACACAATGTTTTATTTGGAGAATCCCACCATCAAAATGGCTTTTTTGGCATGAGAGGCTTGTATACTGTAGCAAGGTAAGAGTCTGTTTAATTAAAATTATAATCCCAATGGGATTACTTCTAAATTTAAAACGTTTATGAGAAGATTGAATCTGCCTGCTGCCAGTTCAAGTACTGGAGTAAGATAAGAAGAGCTTCTTCACCCATGGAGCACCATGACAAAAACATCTGAGTGGCTCCAGCAGGCTTTTAGGTTCATCTCAGCATTGCTAGGTCAGATGTTGAATGGCTCTGTAACACATGCGGGTGTCTGTCAGTGCCTGTGTCATCTGATTTTCTATGACCTAAGCTACACTAGCACCTTTATGGATGAAGAGAGTAATTGCAGTTCAGATTACATTGCCTCTTGAAAGCTTTGATTCACTCCCACTTAATGTAAAACAAATTTCTTTAAAAGCTAGAGTAACTATTTCACATCTAAGCCATGAATGTAGTTCATTCTCAAACTGGAAAAATGCTTTTGGAAGTAGGTTGAATAATTTATTATTTTAATGATATTTAGAAGCGATACCTTGAGAATTAAGGTCCTTCAGCATTGTTTGGCTTATTTTTACAGTTTTAATCCTTAATATTTGCTGCATCTTAAGTATGTGATACTTGAAATATCCCATCTTCACGTTTGGGACTGTGGGACAAAATGTCACCTACGTTATGTTGTCTTTAGGCACAATTAAGAATATTACATGTAAGAGAACTTTTTTTTAGGTTTTTTTGCCCTGTTTCTCAGAAATTCCTCCCCTAGGTAAAAACTACTGTTGTTACTGTACTAAGGAATTGATAGGTGATGTCAGTTATACTGAAAAAAAGTCTCTTCTGCCCCTTCTCCTTAAGGTGATAGAGGATATTACCTTAGCATTAAAATATAGCTATAAAGTAACAGGAAGAAACAAAGACACACAGATTGAGAGTCTTGCCTAATGAAATTTGGTTTTGTCTACATTCTCTTTCCGAAACTCTGCCCTTTTATCTTCTTGTAAAACTTTTAAAATAACTTTAAGTTAATATAGTTCCTTAATATTACATCTGTTTTTCATACAATCATAGAATCTTTGGGTTGGAAGGGAACTTTAAAGGTCACCTAGTCCAAGCCCCTTGCCATAAGCAGGGACATCTTCAACTAGGTCAGGTTGCTCAGAGCCCCATACAACCTGACCTTGAATGTTTCCAGGGATGGATCTTCTACCACCTCTCTGGGCAACCTGTGCCAGTGTTTCACCACCCTCGTTGTGAGAAATTTCTTCCTTAGATCTAGTCGAAATCTACCCTCTTTTAGTTTAAAACGTTACCCCTTGTCCTATTGCTACAGGCCCCGCTAAAATGTCTGTCCTCATCTTTGTTAGAAGACCCCTTTAAGTACGGGAAGGCTGCAATAAGGTCTCCCTGGAGCCTTCTCTCCTCCAGGCTGAACAATCCCAACTCTCAGCCTTTCTGCACAGGAGACATGTTCCCTCCCTCTGATCATTTTTGTGGCCCTTCTGACCCTCTCCAACAGGTCCATGTCTTTCCTGTGCTGAAGGTTCCAGAGCTGGATGCAGTTCTGCAGGTGGGTCCCACCCGAGCAGAGTAGAGGGGCAGAATCACCTCCCTCGACCTGCTGGCCACGCTGCTTTGGGTGCAGCCCAGGACAGGGTTGGCCTTCTGGGCTGCGAGTGCACATTGCTGGCTCATGTCCTGCTTTTCATCCACCAGTCCCCGCCCCCAAGTCCTTCTTGGTAGGGCTGTTCTCAAGCCCTTCATCCCCCAGCCTGGATTGATACTGGGGATTGCCCAGACCTATGTGCAGGACCCTGCACTTGGCCTTGTTGAACCTCAGGAGGTTCACATAGGCCCGTTCCTTGAGCTTGTCCAGGTCCCTCTGGATGGCATCCTGTCCCTCAGGTGTGTCAGCCATACCACTCAGCTTGGTGTCATCTGCAAACTTGCTGAGGGTGCACTTGATCCCACTGTCTATGTCATTGATGGAGATACTAGAGTACTGGTCCCAGTATGGACCCCTGGGGGACACTACTTGTCACCAGTCTCCATCTGAATGTTGAGCCGTTGACCACTACCCTCTGGATGTGACCCTCCAACCAATTCCTCATCCACCAAACAGTCCACCCATCAAATCCATATCTCTCAGTTTGGAGAGCAGGATGTTGTTGGGGACTGACTGTGTCAAAGGCCTTACAGAGGTCCAGATAGATGAGATCTGTAGCTCTTCCCTTGTCCACTGATGTGGTCACTCCATCATAGAAGACCCCTAGGTTGGTCAGGCAGGACTTGCCCTTGGTGAAGCCATGCTGGCTGTCTCGAATCCCCTCCCTGTCTTCTGTGTGCCTTAGCATAGATTCTAGGAGGATCTGTTCCATGATCTTCCCAGGCACAGAGGTGAGGCTGATGGGTTGGTAATTCCCAAGGTCCTCCTTGCTACCCTTTTTTAAAATGGATGCAATGTTTCCCTTTTTCTAGTCTCCAGGGACTTCACCTGACTGTCAGGACTTTTCAAATATCATGGTGAGTGGCTTGGCAACTACATCAGCCAATTCCCTCAGGACTCTGGGATGCATCTTATTAGGTCCCATAGACTTATGTATGCTCAGGTTCCTCGTGTTTTGGTAATTGAATAAAAATTGAATGGTTTTGATGTGTAGGCACTAGTTGTAATGCCTATGTACAGTCAAGAATGGTTCCTAGCTTCACAGGAAAAGGCACTTTTCTAAGGAGAGTATGAAGCAAGTAGAAAGTGTGTGCACACTGATATCATGCAAATATGGCAGCAGTTCGTTACTTCACTGTTTATTTCATGACAAAATACGACTTTTGGCTGGCTAACAACTCCATTAGAAGTGTGGTCTATATGACAATTTTATTTTAAATAAAGAAAAAGTCAGTATCTATCTTTACTAAGTTTTTTCCACCTGATGTTGCCTCTGTAAGTTTTCAGTGTGGTAATGTATATCTTTTACAGAACTAAGTTATTCATTGTTTTACAGAGGAATATGAAAATAGTAGACACCATTTTTGCTCCTCTTAACAAGAACAAACCCATGCATAACATTTTCTGAAGGCAGCAGACCAAACTTTTAGAGAGCAAGTTTTTGATCTGCAGAGAGATAGTAATCATCAGTGAGAAATATTTTGGAAGTGTGAATTGAACATGATGTAGTAAGCCATTTTCAGCTCTATGAACATGGTCAAGTGCACCTTGCTGTTACTCTTGACTATTCATTCAACTGAGATTGTGAATATGAAGGGTTAACTGGTGACTAGGAAAGTTTTACAAATATTTATCTCTTTGTATATGTAATGTGTACTTCTAAACAGGTATTACAGTGTTGATGGTGTCAACCTTCTCAAATTTTGGCAATAGTTTGCCAACTCTTTCAGTTCGTAAGTAGTAAATGATAAAGGTGCTCAAGGAAATAGCCTTGTAGTAGTATCTCGTATCATATAGATAAGTGATCTGTAGGATTTTTAATGTGGTGCACAGTGCACATGAGCAAAAATTCTGTGTCTTTAACACGTGCTCTGTAGCAGAATTTTGCAGATACTCTGTGAGAATGTTTTTTATTTCAGAAACTGAAAACTGTTTCTGTTCAGTATAAAACTTGTATGCTATATATAGCAACTTTTTTTCAGGCAAGTAATCTGCCCCACCAATAATTAGCAGTGGGTCAGTACTTATGGTATAATCTGGAATAAGACAGACAAAACTTCAGAGACTTAGGTGCCTTTTATTCAGATGAGGGATCTGACCATCTTTTCTCTCTCTTTCAGTTCATTCTTTAAAACTTTAAAAAAAAAAAAGCATCACAAGTCTGGCAATACTTGGATAGGTTCTGAAGCTTCCAGTAATCAGTAGTGAAAATACTGTTTTAAAGTTTGTTTTGCTGGGTTCCTTCCATTCTGCATTCTTTCCAAAGTGATTACAACCTTAAAAACTGCCAGTTTCTCTCACGCTGTGTTTATCATTGTCTTTCTTTCACTGCGTGTTGATAAAAATTTCAAATAATACATAGAGTAGTTCAATGAGGTAAAATTGAATTGAATCTTTTGTGTCAGAAAAAGGGTTTCTTGGCTATGATTTCAAACCAAAATTTTAGGTCTTTAAGCTGTGCGTGTAAAAAAAAAAAAATAGGTCTTTAAGCCCTGAGTGCGAAAAAAAAAATAACTCCCATTTTGGTGCTGCAACAAAAAAGATGGAAAAAATATTGCTTAGATAATAATCTCAAGTTTAATTATAACCTCTGAGTTTTTTAAATCTCTTTTAGTTTAAACAGGACTTAATCTGGTTTCAAAGCTCCAACGCCTTTGCTCTGAAATAGATGACTACGATTAAGTTTGGAAACGTTATTTTATGTGTCTAGTAACTTAAGGTAGTATGTGTCTAGGAACTTTAGTGTCAACAAACAGGTATTTCCTAATGACCCATCATTTAGACATTGCCTCTTAAGCAGAGATGAAAAATATTTCTTCCGGCCTCAAGGCATCTTTTTAGCACTAATCTGGGGAGAGGTCCTAGGATCATGGAATAATACAGGCTGGAACGGACCTCCATCGGTCATCTAATCCAAACACCTCCTCCAGGAGAGCCTATTTAGATCACCTTGCTCAGGAACTTGTCTTTGAAAAGTTATCAGCAGTGGCTAAGGGATGCACTTACTGCTTTCTCCTTTCCTCGTGGATACCGCGTTGCTCACAGAGGAAGAGGAAGGCCAATGATCTTACTTGCTTGGGGAATCAGAATAGAGTGGTAAATATTGTCATATGTGAAAAATATATATCCTGTTTGGTACTATTCTGAGGAATGGACTACTCTGCCTCAAAACTAACTATGTTAATTGTATTTTACAGTTATGTATTTTACTGTGTAATAAATTTTCATGGGCTTGTATTTGCAGTTTCCTGAATGTGGTTTCTACGGAATGTATGACAAAATTCTGCTCTTCCGCCATGATCCTACATCTGAAAACATTCTCCAGTTGGTGAAATCAGCTGCAGATATTCAAGAAGGAGACCTGGTTGAAGTTGTCTTATCAGGTAATTAAAAAACAGTGAAAATTACTGTCATGCTTTTGCAACCAAAAGGATCCACAATATTTTTGTCCCAGTTAGGATTCAAGAAAAAGGAGATTTTGTTTGTATGGACTTTCACCTCCATCGGGCCAAAATCTTTCTCAGAGGTATATAGGCATATTATGCCTCTTAATATTTTTTTTTCTTTCTATTGCACTGTATACTTTTTAACAGGCTTTATTTTGTCCATGTTACTAGTTAAGCAACAGGTTAATTTTAATAAGTAAATTGTAATATGTATATTCTACATTTTTAGAGGAAAAAATCATCCTGTGTGACAGCACAACCCTTTTCAAAGCAGCACAGTAGAAACAAAATATAATAAGTAACAAAATACAATAGCTATTTTAACATTTACTTAATTAACAGAGTAGCTTGAAAATTAGAATTGGTCTTCACATATCTTGCATGAAGTATCAACAATTTAATATTTAATAGGATAGAGGATACATTTTTCTATTAGTTGATGCAGCCAGTTCATAATTTCCTGTGGAGGTATTGTCAAGGCCGTTCTTGCTAACAGTGACCTGGCTCCTTTTAAAGTAAGGATTTTTAGCTTTTACCTTATATGAAGTGCCATAAAAATGTCCATTGGAAATAGAGTAACTGTTTTTTAAAGCCCTACATAACAATACCTGCCGGGGCTGCTCTGAATCCTTACACGATCTGTTTTTAAAAGTATTCAGGAAAGGAAGAGGAAAACTTAAATTCCAGGCGAGAAAGTAAATAAAATTCTAGAAATATACATTATATATGGATGGCTGTCGAAGACGAGTGCTGGATGCTTCTTGTACGGGACTGTTGATTGTCTAACAGGTATAAATGATAGCACGGAAAGTGAAAAAGTGGAAGTAAATAACTATTTAGGGCCTAGGAAGTACAAAAACCAGAGGAGATAAATTGAGAATATAAGTCAGTGCAAAGCCAGAGAATGAAAGTTACTGTCTGAGGGTGACTAGCAGGTGAAGGGATGAAAGAAAAGGTGTAATATGAGTGAATTGTGAGGTGAAAGGCTAAATTTTGGAGACAATGAAATGATAAATGGATTTAAGGGGCATATTTGGCCAGCAGAGTGACCATAAAGAGTGTATTACTCTAATTGAAGTAGGAAATAAGCAGAAATTGTGACTGGAATGTAGAGGAACTCTGTGGATGCCATTAAGTGTCAGTAGGACTTGTCAAAATCTTAGATGTGAGAAGGGATGGGGTATGTGACTAGAAATGGTGCAAAGTTTACAAAGGTATGCAGTAGAGTGAATGCTGGAATTGTAAAGATGTAAAGGTGGTATGTGATAGATAAAACTTAGAAGATAGCTGAAGGGCTTTATTTTTGCAGTTGGAACACTGCGGTTAGAGCATCTGGAAAGATGCGTAAAAATGAGACGACACTTATGTCATATAAAGGTAGGAATTGAATCTTTAGGCGAGTGTAGGATTAGTGAAGAGAAAGCCAAATTCCTAATAGATGCTGAAAAGAGTGGAGGTAAGAGTTAGGTCACATAATCGAAGCCAACTGAGATTTTTAATAGAGTTTTCTTGTATAGGACCCGATTCCATACTCTTCGATTAGAACAGGAAGAAGTACAGTAAGGAATAATGCAAGTCATTCCTGTAAGTCATCATTCATCTTTTCCATATCGGAAAAGAAATTTTTCCCTTTTGAAAAGATACCAGTAATCTCTATTTCATATATTTCCCAAAGAAAATAATCACTACAGATCAGTAAATTGGATGTCAGCAAGGAATTTAGTGCTTTATTTGATGTATTGTTTATATGCTTTTGAAATGGAGACCACATATCTTTCAGTTCACCAAAACTGGGCAAGTAGCTGCTTAAATCTTCAAGAGCAGCACTTTAACCAGAACTTGCAAGTGATAAAGGAGAACTATACTGTATAAGAGCATTAGGGGATTTATGGTTTTATTTTTTAGGCGAAGCATCCCTCTACAAAAGTGGTCAAGCATAAGCAACTCTGCAATATTTAAAGGAAGGCTACTATATCAGGACTGTGTGAAGTATGGGTGGCACCTACAATTGCCCAAGATCCATATATTTTTTTCCCTTTGACTCTCCAGCTTAGAGTATACATTGCTGGCTGAAGGCCTGGAATTTTTAATACCACGAAGTACTGTTGTACTGTGTTCTAGTAACCAAATTTTAGCTAAAGGTTAATCCCCAAAGTGCACTATTATACGCTTCCTAATAATTCTGTTATACAGTTGTTGACAGCATTGTTCAGATATACAATTTTTCATGAATTCATCATAAATAAAACCAGGTAAGAAATTTATGTTTGTTTATTACCTTCTTGTTACTGATTTATGTCATTTCTGTGGTATACTAGTTCCCTTTTGCAATTCACTGACTGTATTTACTGTATCAAAAGTTGTGCAACTGTAGCGGTATGTCATGATGGGTTAAAAAAAGGAAAAAGACAGAGAAAATAGAGGAATTAGGGGATCCATCTATTTTGGAAAGTCATTGTAGTGTACAAAAATAATAGACTAAGAATATTTTTGTATCCTAAGTAAATGCAAAATGCATTGTGATGTGTTTAGAACTAAGTATATTTTCATTTTTTTGCATGTTGTTTCATAGTTTTACAGGAAATAGGGTGTGATCATACCTAGCCATAGCTATGATAGCCTATGCATAGTCATAGCATTTCTGAGACTCTAATTCTTAATTGCATTAACTTCTTTTCACTGAAAGCAATTAGTAGTTCTAATCCCTGAGAATAGTTCTTGTTTCAGTTTTATCATCCCTCTAGCAGTAGCTAGTAATAGAATTTATTTCTGTCTGTCTCTTTTTTTTGTTGTTGTTGTGGGGTTTTTGTTGTTTTTTTGGTGTCATGTCCCCCCTGTCCCCCCCCTATATCTAAAGCTACTTCTGGAAAATATAAGGGAGAAGTATTACAATCTGTTTAACTAGCCACCAGTCCAGTGCTTAACAGCTGTTCCACGTGTTATTTTGAGAATGCCTGATTTATGTAATCTTAACTACAGCCATCACTCATGTCCTTGCTGAAATAAAGTGGCTTTTTTTAACTTACAAGTCAGGGTTGAGGTATCTTAAGACGCTTCCGGTAAGGTATATTGGTTTCTTAATTCCATATGGCCCAAAGAGTATGACTTTGTTTCCATGTTTTTACTGAACAACTGAAGTAATAATTTTTCTCCTCTCTGCCAAAAGATGTGAAAGTCTTCCTTGGCCATGCAATGAGCACTTACGGGTGCAACCTGTCAGGTCCCATGGATTTATGTATGTCCAATTTACTTAAATGTTTCTTAATCTGATCTTCCTCTGCTGAGGGTAAGTCTTTCTTGCTCCAGACTTTCCTTCTGGTCTCAATGATCTGGGATTCCTGAAGGCTAGTCTTGCTAGTAAAGGCTGAGGCAAAGAAGGTGTTGAGTACCTTGGCCTTTTCTCTAGCCTTTGTCACTAGGTTGCCTGTCCCATTCAGCAACAGGACATTTTCCCTATTCTTCCTTTTGCTACTTTAGTTAAGAAGGTGAAGCTTACTCTTCCTTAATATTTTATCAAATGGTATTCTCTCTTAATCTCGTGGAATTATCATAGCACAATATGGTGAAATGGGTCTGAAAAGAGATTACAAGCATGCACTTCAGATACTTTAAGTAGGTCTGCGTTGTAACACATACAAATATTAGTTCTTCTTTTTCATTGTTCTTCACTTTCTCTTTTCTCTCCCATTGCCTGACCTCTTGTGTGAATTAGTGCTCTACCCTTGAACTATTCTGCTTTGGTGGGCATGGCCACATGAGGTAAGAAAGCTGATTTATGTAGGGTATTAGTTACGTCTTTTACTCCTGTTATGTCTTTAGAAACAAAACGGAGTGAGAGACTTAATATCCTTTAGCAACAGTTCTGCATTGTTTTGATTCAAAAAATTGTTTCTGTAAGGATGGTTTCAGTTAATCTTTAGCAAGCCATTGTATCACCACAGATCAGCAAAATATATCTCTAGGTCCTCTGGCTACTAGTGACTTAATGTTACAGTCTTTTTGTTACAAATAAAGACGCTTTGTGACAAGAAGGGCTGTGGGGTATTTTGAAGTTATTTGTACCACTTTTTAGATTCCTTATGCCTACCACTTAATGCCAGTGATCCTTCAAGAATTTCAGAACATCATTACATAAAATATTCTATAAGATATTAGAACTTTGTGTAAAAATGACATTTCTTGCACGTGACGTAAACGGATGCCAAGGATTTTACAGCAGGTAGCAGTTTATAAATATTAGAAAGACCATTCAGATAGAATGGACTGCAGCAGTCAGGAAACAATATTTAAATTATTTCATTTTCTTGCCCCAAAACTATTTTAATATTTTAGTATCAGATTAAATAAGTATTTAGTAGCAGATCTAGCAATCTAAGAGAAAATGTTTTCATTTAAAATAGATGCACCTTAAATACTGATAATAGATGTAATAAATTGTTGCAATGATAGATGTAGAGAGCAATAAGGTCTCCCCTCAGCCTCCTCTTCTCCAGACTGAACAATCCCAGTTCCCTCAGCCGCTCCCTCTTCAAGCAATTGTCTTTGTAGATTACGCACACGTAAATGCCTTTCTGCTAGTATAGTTGCATGTATGAGGTTTTAAAGTGATGTAGTTAATTGAGCAGGTTGCTTCTTAGACCAACTGTTGTGTTTTTTTAATAAAACACTGAAATTGGGTTTTTAAAACAAAACTAAAAACACAAACAAAACCAGTTGTTACCCGCCTAGCTATGTAAAGAGAGATTATTATGAAACCTTGACAACAACATGAGGTTTGCCAGAGTGGAGACCGCTCAGTCAACAGTTGATGATATGTCAAGGAGTTTAACGGCTGAAACTCAAGAAAAGGGGTGGGTCAGTTGTTTGCACCTTTTCAGTTGCACTGTCATACCAGATTCCTCCGTGTGATTTCCTGAAGCTGGAATCCCAGCTTTCAT